GCCCCGAGAGGTACACAACACACCTAAACACTGCAGCTGACACACTAATGTGTCGCAACACACAGTTTGGAAAGCTCTGTCCTAGGTTGCAGAATTCCCTCTGTATTATGCAGTTTCCATCATATGCTGAAGACAGACCTCTTTACCCTGGCTTTTGACACCTGATATATGTATTTTCAGAACTTACCTGATTCCTGCGAATATAATTTGTTTTGACTGTTTTTAATTCTGAATTTTAAGCTGTTGTAACCTACCCTTGGACCTCCTGGTAAAGTGTGGGTGATAAATTGATTAATAACAACAACAAAACCTGAAACATGGGTGCAGAGGGGGATGACTTCGGATCTTGTCTTGTTTTTCATTTAAATAACTAATTTCTAGGGTGATGCCTCAATGAACCCAGACAGACGGTGAACACCTGGTGGAAATTTCACTTACTAAAAATACCAACCAAACTTTCTGAATTCCTTGGCAAGGACGAAAGCTTATTGCCAAAAAGCTGGCCTCTCTTAAAAGAAAATAAAAAACAGGGGAGGGACAAAATAAAAAATAAGCAAACTAGATAGGGGGGATTAAAGAAAAGATATTCAAATATTGAGAACTCATGCTTCCATTGTGGGAGGTCTGAAGTAGGGATGGGAAAGAAACCAAGTTCAGTTCGCTCTGAAAAGGCAAATCTACCCAATTCGCACTTCCTGAAGCAATACGTGAACTGAAACAAAGTCATTCTTTGAAATGGGCACTTTTACAGTGTGCACAGAATGCATATATAACATTTAAAGAACGTTAAAAATTGCACTGTATTAGGCAAAGCTTCATACATCAATGTGCGTATGAGCAGAATCTCACACTAAAATGCTGATAAATCTTCACGAGAATCTTTTTTTTTTTTAATCAACTTGCAAGTGATGGGAGAACATGGAGAACTCAGCTTAATGTTTGAAAAATGAAAAACTGAGAAGAACAGCCTAGTTTGAAGGCGCCGGAAGCGATTTTGTCTCAGAAAATGTGACCTATACTAGCAATGGTTTTCAAATTCTGCACCTTCAGAGAATCCATTCCAGATGAAGTTGTCTGCTGACGAATCCTTGAACGCTGTGGAGGGTTCTGGGTCACGTTCTCAGCACAGGTGGGGTTCAGGCATCCCAGGCCCACTGGGACTAATTGCTGCCGCACGAGAACCCCAAATGTACTCCAGAATATCCCCAGACACTTTGAAATATAAATGGTGCTGGTAGTGGCAGCAGCAGCAGCAGCAGCAGCAGCTGGTAAGCTACCTTCCATAGAAATTTGTCTCCCATTACTAGATCTGTTGGTGAGGTTCTCTGATAAGCCTATGAGGAACCCTAGGAGTCTCGGAAACGTAGCTTGAAAAACACAGCACAAGCCTTTTAATACCATCAGTACTTCCATCCAAAGAACCCTGGGAATTATTCTAGGTGGAAAGGTTAGGGAACTCTAATAAAGAGTGCATGGAGAGCGTCTGGAGCTCTGTATCTACCTTGTTCCATCTCCAGCTTCTCTTTATACAATACATTAATTCCAGGTAACAGCTGGGAAGGACTTCTGCATGAGACTTTGGAAAGCTGCTGCTCATTGTAATAGACAATATGGGCTGGACTTGGCTAGCATAATGCAGCTTCCCAAATTCTGATGTCTCGCCTTCTTTAAGGGCCACGCTTCAGCGTTCACAAAGTAACAAAATTGGGCAAAATTCATTAAACAAATCTCTTTCTCGCTCCCGCCCCAATACCCCACTGTGAAAGGAGGGACTTTAAAGTGCTTGGAGACAGGTAGTTGCCTTTTTGGGGAGCTCATATTATTCCATAAACAGCCCATATACATGGGCAAAGAGTTAATGCGCTGCATATTTCACCCATGTCATAACAACTCCTAGGCACGTTAGTTAATAAAACAAAGGAAGAAAACACAGAGAATTCACAGAGCCCTGCCTGACTTGTGAGTTTCAAATCAGAAACCACAATCAAAGGAAGACGGTGCCAATACAGTAAGTTTCAAGTTCCACAGCCGTGTGTGTTTTTGAAATCCTTTATGAAATCCCCTGTTAAATGAGCCTCTGCAGAAAAGGACTTGCTGAAGTTGCTAGATACGCCTCTCCCCCTCCCAATTTTGTCCCACTAGCAGGACGAGGCAAGAGATGCGATATTCTGATAATAATAAAAAACACAGCACTTCCTTTTCTAGCACAGCCACACGCCTAAGGCAACGGCAGCTGGAACCTCAACCAAGAGAACTTTGGGCAGATGCTCCCATTTTGCTCCTGCCTTTTCTCTTGCTCTTTTCACAGACACCCATAAAACAAAACCGCAGCACGCCTACCGGCTTAAAGGTCCAAGGTATCTTGCCCACGGACCTTTCCCTATTTCGCACAAACACAAACAAACTAACTTACAGCGCTGACAAACCTCTAATTCAAGAGTTCATAACTTCACTAGATGGGAATCCGAATTTGAAAATGGGACATACCTATACATGCAAATATATATAGGAGGTAAGGAGTTCCTGAACCCTGCGGCTTAAAAGCTCTCAGAGAGTAAAATTTCCAGTGGCAGCTGTGATGGAAAAGAGGACAAGGACTCCTGTACATAGTTGTACAGAAGAGCGGATTTTAGCTGGTATAGATAAACTTGTCCTTGCTGGCACAAGGAAAGCACAAGACCAGTAACTATCCTGTAATAAAAGTTCATAAGTGTCCAGAAGATCAGGGGTCATCCCATGACAGAGTTCAGAAGCGGCAGTTCTTTTTAAGAGAAGGACCATTTGGGCCCTTGTGAAAGTACCAACCTAATGTTTGCACTGCTCCTGTGAGCAGGCCATGGACGCAGCAGTTGATTGTAGACTCTGTGCTGCTCCTGTGGCACCCACACAACATTGCCCTTGTCAAAATGCCTTCACGTATTTCCCTCCCCCCATTTAATCCAGAATCGCTGTTCCTGAATGTGTGAACATCACTGGGCATGGTTAACTGTCGGAGGAATGCACTCCCAATTCTGTGCACTGCTAAATGCCCAAGAGCACATTTATATAAAATATGAATTGGCCTTTTGTTCCTGATAGTATATTCTATTAAACAAAACAGAACTTTTATTCCCTTTTTAGCTCAAACCCTATTTCTGGTAAGGCAGGTGATGTCACTCAGAGCCACTGCCATGGAGGGACTTAAAGGGGAAGTTCACGATCTTCCTGATTATCTCCTTAGCCGCTTATCTCTGCACTTGGGGCAGACAGTTGCAGTCCTGCTAACTCCACAGATACAACAGAGATAAAGGCAACGTTTCCGGACTAACTTCTGTTAGTGCAAAAGAAAAAAAAGAAAAATAAAGGTTTGTCTGGTATTGGGGATTGCTAATAGGCTGCACTGAGAAGGTGGGGGACAATGGCAGGTCATATATGTCCCGTCCCCCCGTCAAGTTAAGGTAAAGGTAAAGGACCCCTAGATGGTTAAGTCCAGTCAAAGATGACTATGGGGTTGCGGTGCTCATCTCGCTTTCAGGCCAAGTGAGCCAGCGTTTGTCCACAGATAGCTTTCTGGGTCGTGTGGCCAGCATGACTAAACTGCTTCTGGCACAACAGAACACCGTGACGGAAACCAGCGCACACGAAAACACCGTTTACCTTCCCGCCATAGCGGTACCTATTTATCTACTTGCACTGGCGTGCTTTCAAACTGCTAGGTTGTCTGTCAAGACAGAAAGAAGGACAGACCTCCTGCAGTCCATGTGGCTGTAAGAGGCATGCAGAAGCAGGATTTCGGCAGCTGCAGCTTACTATATGCAATAGTGAGAAAAGCAACATTTGTTGAAATCCCTTTTTTATAGAGAGCTACAGAAACCCTGGGCTAGTTTTCACTCAACTGGTGCCTAGGATGTAACACTTCCGCGGGGAAAAGGCTAGGCTAGAATTCTGCTCCTCAAAGGGCAACTTTTCTGTCATGTTAGCGCTCTGCTACCACTCACAGCCAAAAGTGGTACAGTCCAGGCAGACAGAATTAGGCTTATGCACCACCTCCCACTTGGTTAGTAGCTCAATGGCAGAGTTTCCACTTTGCATGCAGAAAGTCCCAGGTTCAGTCCTCAGCGTCTCTTGGTCAGGATGGGAAATGCTCCTGTCTGAAAGACTGAGGGCCACTGCCAGTCAGACAATACCAAGTAGACAATATCAAGCGAGATGAACCAATGGTCCAACTTAGTACACAGCCATTTCCTGTGATGTTCCCTTCCTCTGAAGCCAAACTGAAGTTAATGGGAACTCTGCAAGGACACACTGGATTGACCGCCATGAATCCGAATTCTGTCTCATTTTGCCACCCCGTTTCTTCATCTTACGTGGTGACAAAGCTCCCTCTCCCTTGTTTTCCTGTCTCTGTGTTGTTGTACCCATAATGCCTTCTTGATTCTCCCCACTCGCTCCTTCCCCCACTTTTTTTTTTTTGCTGTGGGGGAGAAATCTGATTAGGAACTTAACCCACCACCCAAACCCTAGAATGAAACTTTTTCTAGAATGCCTTTGTGTGTGAAAGACTTGGCAATACATATCCCATAAACTTCAGCGCCAGGGTGGGGCTCTTGGTTTTGAAGTCTGATCTAGATGTAAGAGAATTCTGAGCCTGTGCCTGCCCACCTCCTTCTCTCTCCCCCCCCCCCACATCACCCAAGTGGCAGAGAGGAGAGAGACAGCAGATCCCAGCAGATACAGAAGGGAAAGAGAGAAAGGAGCTGCCACTTTCAAAATGGTTCCCAATTATGTTAGGGAATTTTGAAGGTTAGTTGGTTCCATTTTTTTAGTTGGCTCAATAAACTCAGGGATAGATGTTCAGCTACCATTCCCATCATCTGTGAACCAATGGCCATGCCTGACAGGGCTGGTGGGAGTTGGAGTCTAAGAAAACATCTGCTTCTTCCTGAATTACCTATATTAATAGTGGCAATTCTAGGTGGCACATGTTGTTTTAGTAGCTTTAATTCCAGCTTCCACTTTACCTTCTCTCCCTTCTCCATTAGTCAACTGATATTCCTTTGAGTCTTCACTGTTGTCCATGTTTTCAATTTCATGGGATGTGTTAGAATTGCCATCAGTCAAAACATCTGGAACATCTGGAAGGGGTTTTTAAAATATATTTTTATATATGTGACTGAATTATAATGACGGTGAATCATTTAGACAGCAATTCAAATGTGCTTTGATACATTTTAGCTCACTGCGTAACAATGAAAGACGCTCTCAATGCTTGCATTTTACAGATTAGGGAAACTGAGACTGAGCAAGAAGAAGGCCACCTTAACAAGACTCTGTAAAGATGAGTTGAAATTTGAACTCTGGTTACAAACCCAACATGCAAGCGTTAGTAATATAGTTCAAATGCACTAGCATCAAATCATTAAAAACCTTCAAATTTTCAGGCATGTCTTGTGGGCTAAGGCCACATTGCAGACACATAAGTATCCAACTTAATGTTAGACATCCTGGATCAAGTCTCTTGTTACATACCATATTGGCCTGAATATAAGCCTCACTTTCCCCAAAATTCTGACCGTGAAAAGTTAAAGTGCAGCTTATATTCGCGACCTTATGGTATGCAGCGAGGAGCGGGGGGGGGGGGCAAACAGCGCCAGGAGCGCAGCAAAGCAGCACCCGCCCCGTGCGTAGTCCCCCACCCTCTCCCCCAAGGCCAGGGAGAGAGCGAGGAAGGGGAAAGGCCGCCGGCAACGCAGCACGGCTCCCCCACTCCCCTGCCCAGTATGCAGCCAGGAGCAGCAAGGAATGGAGTGACTTATATTCGGGTATTTTTCCTCTCCCCCCCTTCAGTTTTAAAGGTGCGGCTTATATTTGGATGTGGCTTATATTTGGGTGAGGCTTATATTCAGGACAATACGGTACTAATATGGTCATATGTGGGAAGTAAGAATCATCTTCAGTTTCCCAGGCTGGGAACTCTTTTAAGGATGGAGGAGTTGGGGGGGGGGCATCACAGCACAGTACCTGTTGGCTCTGTTTGCTCCCGAGAGTGGCTGAGGTCCATGCCAGCTGGTGAATCTGAAAAGAGGCCAAGAAAGAATTTAAATCTCTAAAGATTGTATAACGCTAAGTGACAATCCTGCAATGAGACTGGAAGGGCTGAACCTGGTCCAAAATTGTGTTGTCCAAAACATACTCTTCGTGTGTGTGTGTGTGTGTGTGTGTGTGTGTGTGTGTGTTCAATAAACAGAACAATCCATTAAATAGCCAAGAGGTGCATATAAAGAATGGAGAGAAAACCCTCTCATTCCTTAGAACATGGGTTATGTAGTCCAAGCATTCTTACACCTTTGCTTCACCCCTTATTAAACCACAACCAAACTACAAAATTGAACCATGGCAAATGGCCTTGGTCAGAAAAGAATATAAAAAAACCCCTGAAGTGTTTTATGCATTATATCACTTTTTTTAAAAAAAAATCCTCTCAGGCTTGCCTCCAGCCTATCTTTCTGCCTCTCTCCTTTCAAACTTCCCTTAAAATCCAATGTTTCTGTAAATCTTTTGGCTTAAACAACAAATTTCTGAAGAACAGACATGGGCATCTCATAACATTCCTATTAGATTAATGAGCTTTATAACAATCAATCAATAGTATCTTAATATTTTCTCTTGAATTTTTGAAAATAATGCTTTAATTTTCTGTTAATTATGTTGCTTTGAAAGTTATACTTTTATATTTGACTTCCTTCAATAACGTTTTATTCTGGATTATTTTATTCGATGTTTTAATGCAGGTCGAAAACTGCTTTGAGATTCTTTCCCCTTAAAAATATAAAGAAGTATAGAAATGAAATGAATAAAAACAATGATATCCAAATAATATCAATAAATGTTTGTTGGAGATCAAAGGCATTCAGATACAGACATCGTGCAAGATTTCGGTCCTGTTTATACATACGGACCTGTGGAGAGAAGTCCTAGATTCAGGATGGGGAATCTGTGGCCTTCCAGATGTTTTTGGTTCCAGTTCCCATTCTATATTCACTATGCAGATGGGTCTTGAGAGGCCAACAGCAACTCGAAGGCCACAGTTTCTCCATGCCTGACTGAGACAAAATCCAAGGGATGATTGTATATGACATTGCTCTCAATCCCAGAAATATTTTATTGGGGTGTTTAAAAGGAGCGGCGAAACCAGCAGAATTAAAACAATTCCATTCATTTGCTAATGCACTGATCGCTGGAAAACCTCGCAATTCCTCTTAATTTCAAAGTGGTTAAAAATTGGATGTAAACGCATTGCTAATTAACTTGTTTTTCAAGAAGCTACTCACTATCTCTTGAGTGATACTAATGCCTATTTAAAAAAGTTGCTGTGTTACCTTGACAACAAGGAATATCAGAAAGAGAGAGAGCTAGATAAAATTGCTTCGCAAGAGAAACAAAGATTAAGGTTGTGATCCTATACCAGCTGCTGGGATTAAGGCCCACTTAGCACAAGTAGAGGATCGCCCTGTTAATTTGTATTGAAGGCGGAGGTTTTCTGCACCCCTGGAATCTATGCATATAGGGTCTGGAATGTGAACTTTCCATTATTGGGTTGATTTGTTGCTGTGGCATATATAGCTGTCATGGCCTCTGGCATGAACCATTAAAACCTCACCTTGAAGAAGCTACTATTGAAATCAAGTTAATAGGTTTATTGAAAGACTGTCTTTAAAGATAAATCTCTGGAATAATATTTTTGTAGATGAGGCACAACCTTTTTTCTCTGTTGTAGATGTGCCAATCCATTGATTCTGTGCCAGGGCAATTTAAAATTAGTCTCAATTAGATTATTTTTGGAATTGTAAATGTGTTAATTATGGGTGGCGTTCAAGTAGGGTTTTTTTCAGAGCTGACCTCATATGGTATATAGAAACATGCAGTGCTTTTTTTTTGGTAAAAAAAATTAATTAGTTAATGAGATGTTGTGTGACTCATATCTTGATAAAAGTGTCATGGGTGCCAGCACAAAATGGCTGCCAGGGGCAGCAAAAAATAAATAAATTAAAAGGAGATGCCAGCACTCCATGTTGGTGAGTACTGCCACAGAAACAACACCAGACAGTGAAGCCTGGTGGAAGTGAAATGCAAAAAACCCCACCTATTTATGGCAATTAAAATGAAAGCTCATACCAGGATTAGGTAACATGGTGCCCTCCAGATTTCGTGGACTACAACTCCCATCATCTCCAGCAATTGGCCCTGCTGGCTGGGGCTGATGGGAATTGTATTCCAAATTATCTGAGGGGCACCAGGTCTGCCAGCCCTGGCTTATACTTATTTGGCATACATTTGCAACGCAATCCTATACCTGTCCAGGTATGTGTATCTAGGATTGCAACAGATACTTGTATACAGGATTGCAGTCTTCAGCTGTAATAAAATAGTCATAGACTCTATGCTTGGCATTTTCTTACCCTCGGATCACACTGTATTTCTCTCTCAACACCTCTCGATATCTGCCAACTGCGGGTGAAGACTTCACACATCTGGAAGGAGACTGCAGTCCCCAAAATCTCCTACCATAATAAATGTGTCAAGTCTTTGAGGTGCCACAAGACTCCTCCTTGTTCGCACTAAATATAAACTTGCTCACGTTGAAGGCCTTTATCCCCTTCACCTGCCTTCCTGTTCTGTCCCACAGAAACCCATTTCCTGTCAGCCCCTTTGTTCACACTCCTGTCTCCTCGGCACTGCCTGCCACATGATTTCCAACCTCTAGAGCAGCTCCCCGCCCCAGCTCAAAGCCAAAACCACCTTCTGCAAAAACCCTCCTGAATTCCTCCTTTAGCATCTCCTCGCCACCATCTGTCAAGGCCAGACCACATGGTTCATGAAAGTAACACATTTAACAGGGCAGCTTTTTTTTAAAAAAATAGCCATTGCAAAAAAAAGGAGGTGGCCCCAAAACAGCCGTCATTTTCCTGGTAGGCAGGGGGTGATATATTAGCTGCCTTCCTCCTGGGGGAAAAGTGGCTGGTGAGGGAGGGGGGCAATTTCATGAGAAACATGCTGACCATAGAGGAAGGGGAAGGCTTAAATTCCCTCCTCGCACCCCATATCCTAGGCCCTATAATAACCCTGCCACTGCAACTGCTTTTGATTTGAATGGCATTCATGCCAGTAGTGGCCACATTGCCAATATGGCTTCCCAACACTGCCGGTTACCAAGAGGGACTACTGTGCATTGCAAAGGATTCTGGGGCATGTTTCAGGATACACAGAGTGCTAAGCCTGCCCTTTGGGGGACCACCAACGCTCTGCACCGATCCTGCACACCTTGAACGTTACCGAGAGGCCTGCTGGGCCTCACTGTCACCCTCTGCCAACAGGGAATGCGCAAAGTTGGAATAAACCAAACTTATTCCTGCTTTGAAGACAGGAGTGCCTGGTGTGCTCTGGTCCATGGGGTCACAAAGAGTCGGACACGACTAAACGACTAAATAACAATTCCTGCTTTTCCACTGTGAGCTGCTGGCTTTGGATTTTATTTTTTAAAAATTGGACAACTGGTTAGGGCCTAGGGGCATAGCTGTCAACTTTCAGATTTGAAAATAAGGGATCAGCAGCCTCACCTGTCCTGGGGACAGTCTACGGGATATCTAACAATCCGGGATAGCAGTGGGAAGCAGCGGGAAACAGCGCTGGAATAAGGGAATTTCCCGCAAAAAAAAGGGAAGGTTGACAGCTATGCCTATGGAGAACATGTCCAAGTATGGAGTCCAGCAGTCTGAGGTGGGGGGCTTGGGATGGATGTGGGGGCATAATATATATACCGCCACCACTGCGAGCAAGGCCTGTCATTTACTGGTTGGTTGGCTACCCTAGCTGAAAACTGCAGGGAAAGTTTATCAATGGTGCAGAGCCACCCTGCAAGCCGTTTGTCTGCCATGACATATCGCAAAACCCCTGATAAGCTGGCTGAGGAATACTGACTGAAAACCACTTTTTGAGGGAGAGTAATCAAGCGTGCATCTCTTCTAATGGCCTCTCTGCTTCTCTCTTTCTCCCTCCTTTGATTTCCTTATCTGAGAATCTGATGTCTGTTTAAAAAGAGAAAGAAACTTGGTCCTGGCTGTTACATAACTGCAAAACTTAGCTCACATGAAGCGGCAGGAAAGTGTTAACCGCTTCCCTTGCTTCACCACCAAGGTTTATGGAACATATATGGGGCCTCTGCAACATCCGAGTAGAAGAACTTTGATAGCAAAAGGCCTTTCCAAACCACTGCCATGCACCACTCCTTAATTTTTTTTCTTCTTCCTGAAGATTAAAGTGTTGCTTCTCGGATCTGACACCACATTATCTGGTGGTGAGGGGACAGAGCAGTTCTGTTACCCAGTCTCTGTGTGTTTTCCTTTTTGTTTTTTGTTTTGTTTTGCTTTTGCTTTCTGACCACTTGCTAGAAAATCAGATTAAAACTGCCCCTTGATGTTCAACAACAGGAATAGAGAACCGGACGCCATCCAAATTGTGTTGGAATACAGTTCCCATCAGTCCCAGTCAACATGACCAATGGCCGGGGGGGGGGGGGTTGTAGTCCAGCAACATCTACATGACACAAGCTTCCCTGCCCACTTTTAGAAACAGCCTGCTCTGACCCAGGGCCAGGCCCACTCATATTTTTTTTTTTTTGTTTCATAAATTTTTATTCATATTTGCACATATATACAGGGAAAACATAAACAAAAAATCCACCACATACCTTATACAAATTATATCCACTTCACAAATCATAAATAAAATACATAACTGAGTTAGTCTCAACTGAACCTTGGACTTCCCTCCACTCCTTTGGTAAGTATCGAATAAATTATATAGTCGCATACTTTTTAACTCTTTTACATAAACCTTTCCCGCTGTTAGAGTTATTTCAACCCCGCCAGTGTTACCTGAGATTTAGATTCCATATAGATTAAATATTTCTTCCAATTATCATGAAATTTCTGTTCGTCTTGGTCCCTTAATCTTCCTGATATTCTATCAAGCTCAGCATAATTTATCATTTTAACCTGCCAATCACTTATGTTGGG